TATATATATGTATGTATGTATGTATGTATGTATGTATGTATGTATATGTGTATGTATGTGTATGTATGTATGTATGTATGTATGTATGTGTGTGTATATATATATATATATATATATTGTTATACACAAAATTGCCTTTCATTGCTCTGTATCTAAGAAAATCACATCTTTCTTTTTTATAGAAATGAAAAAGTTCCTTCTTTATGCAAGGCATTCAGAAATAAGAGGTGTTGCCATAGAGAATCCATACTTCAATTATATAACAGCATTTACAGTTCCTGATATTGATGATGTAACAGTTGTAGATTTTGATGCAGTGGAAGAGCGTTTATACTGGACTGATGTGAAAACACAAACTATAAAACGGGCCTTTATTAATGGGACTGGATTAGAAACTGTCATATCAAGAGGTAAAGTGTGTACTTTATAAAGCACTATTGTGTATATTTAAGAAACAAAGCATAAATTAGCTTTCCTCCCTAATTAACATATTAATATATCAACCAGCCACATGCTATTGAATTAAGCTGGCCATTGTTAATTACACAAAAAGATTATCGTAGTTATGTATTACATATTTAAACTTTCTACATCCTGGATTAAAATTATTTGGCTTGAAAGTAGCATTTTTGTCATCCCCCCCCCCCACCTGTACCTACAGTCATTGACTGTAATAAATAGATTTCATTTGTTTTTATTTTTCTATTTGTTTCTCTCTCAAAAATCCCAAGTTATGCTTTGATGGCCAAGAAATAAAGGTGTTCGTTACATACAGTTTTTCGACAATCATACTTTGTTTAAATTTGATGACTTCATTTTCTAAATCTAAGGTGCCTTTCAAAAGGCTTTAATTTTTAAGCAATTCATTTCAAATTTGATCATCTTGTTTTATAATGCCATCATGAAGTACCCGAAAGAAAATAGTAACTATATATGGTTGTATCCAAATCTATCCATCTGATGTAATAGTATGTGGCAATGACTTTGGGAGATGGGGGCGGAGGCTGCATAATGAATTATCACAAGGAGAGTACCCCAGTACATTGCAGGCAGAAAAAAAAAACAACCTCAGAAAGGATTCTATATAGTTTATTAGGCTGTAAAAAGAGATGGTGTGGGGGTTTGTACTTTCAGATTTACATAAAGTAGAATTAGCTCATCTGGCCCTGTTTCTTGTCTGGTCTATCAGGGACTTCTGATACCTACAAAGGGAAGAGAAACTGCTGATTAAACACACCCCAATGGCCCTTTATCTACTAAGACTTTGAGCCATAAAACCTGATCTGGTTTAGCATTTAGCATTTGTACCACACAATCTTGCAGGAGGATTACAAAAGTGTACTAGTATTCAGTATAACATTTTTATCTTTGTTCTCCAGAATCTGATGTACAAAATGATGTTGTCTGCATGTAGAATATAGTCATCAAGATTATTAATCATTGATTTGTTTTTTTTAAAAAGACTACTAGTGCTATTTAAGATGACAGCTATCTCCATCTCTTTAGTTCTGCTAAGTACAATTGAAGTATTATCTCTTTTCATCAAACATGAATCTCTTCTGACAAGCTTTGTTAAATGTCCTCTTTTAGACTGGTGTTATGACCTCTTCATTTGAAATGAACTTTTCTCATTCTTAAATTATTTTTCTTATTTAACTTTAAATTGCAGATTTTAATTTAATATTTCCTCCTCCTCCCACCCATGTTTTGAATGAAGATGAATAAAGCACCGAATAAACAAGTAGTTGTGTAATTTAAATCCATTAAAATTAAAGTTTGCACTTGTTCCATGAAGTAGGAAATCTAGTCATATATTTCTTTTAAAAGTCATGATCCATAGATTACAGTTATTACAGATATATTACTACAGTTGTTAGAGTTAGGGAGAGTGCATTATCTATTAAATATATATGTCTGTTTCAAGGACTTTTCCAGATTATATCTGCATGTATGCATTTCTCCACCAGGAGGCCTGAAACTATGTGGTCAGTGCAGGCATATCCATACAGATGGAATCTAAGAAAGGTCTTAAAGTGGTCACACTAAATCTTGGTGCTATTTGCATGCTTTGGACAACCCAATATACACAATCTTCATTTTGCTCTTCATGTTTTAATGTATATATTTGTTCAGTCCTATATATTTTAGTATAAAAGGTAATTTGAATTAAATAAAATTTAAGTATGGCAGATCTCAAGTTACTTGAGGTTCACACAGCGTATAAAATATTTTCAGTAAAACTAACTAGTAGGACAATTTGGGTAAATAGTTTTTTTTTTGTTTTATATTTTATAGATATTCAAAGCATTCGTGGACTGGCTGTGGATTGGTTATCACGTAATTTATACTGGATTAGTTCAGAATTTGATGAAACACAAATTAATGTAGCCCATTTAGATGGCTCCTTAAAAACTTCAATTATACATGGAATTGATAAACCACAATCTCTTGCAGTTTATCCAGCTAAAGGGTAAAGTTTTATTCCTATTAGTACAGCTTTGAGATAGTAAACAATGTGCATTTTTTGAGATATAAATTTGTGTTTGCTTGTCAAGTTTAATACTATTTGTATAACCAATTTCATTGTATTTAAGTATAATGACAATAAAGATTATACTTATTTTATAATCCTTTGTTAACCACCCACTTGGCAATTGGGCAGCTATATAAATAGAAGAAATATAAATACATCAAAGGAGAATTTAGTAAATTCTATTTTCCTATAAGGCGAAATATCCATGGAGTACTAGTATGGAGACTCCATTTTCAAAAAAAAGATATATATGTGTCAGGAGAGAAAATAAATAATAAATTAGACCTCTGTGTATCTAATGTTTGTATGGATAGTTATTTTATTTTTAGGAACTTTGCCTCTGTATGTATGGGACAAGTTGTAATTTTTTTCATGATCAATATTACAAATATATTTTATTAGATGATTTAAAATATTTTTGATATTCTAATATTAATCACAGTCTGGAAGATGTAGTGATACTGTTTGTACCCCTTTAAAGAAAAACACAGATTAAAACATTGTATAATGTGACCTACACTTACTGTCTTTGGGATAAGAAAGTGCATTATTTTTGATACAGCATAACATTTAAAAGTAACAAGATTTATGTATTATAATTTTTAAAAATGTAATTGAAATAATATATTCCAATTTCCAATTAGGAAACCTGAAGTTGTTAAATACATTTTTAAGTTAAAGCTTCATATTGATAATTTTAATGCATTATTTTGTACATGAATGGATCTTATTATTTCGTTATTTAGTTTTATAAAGGATGTAGTGCAGATATGGTGATTATTCCCAATTCATGCCAACTCATGATTCTTTTTCTGACTAGTTTTAGAAATCAGATTCAATAAGAATTCTACACAATCTCTGATTGAGGAATGGTTTCAGAATGGTAGATGAGAATCAATTTAAAGCTATATCATATTATGTTTGCCTAATAGTTTGGGGAAGTAGATAAAAGTTCACCAGCTCTAAAGCTCCATATTTTCCCCATATATCACCCATCCACATAACTTCCTGTCTGGTGCTAGAGTCATAAATTTATTTTGATAATGATAAAGGGAAAAATAAGTTTGTATCGCTTACCACAACTTACAAAAAGTGGCTATTGTTTCAGAATGGAGTGTCTTCCTTTCTATAATAATATATGATTACTGTGTTAATATGTTTAATGCAACAGTAATTTATATTTATTTTCATTAAGGAAGCTTTATTGGATTGATGGGAACACAATTAACATGGCAAATATGGATGGCAGCAACAGTAAAATACTACTACAGAATCAAAAAGACCCAGTTGGTAAATACAGCTATAACCTCTTTCATGTCAAGTTGTTTTGCTCAACTCAAGAAATTATATCTACATGTGCACAAAGTAAACAGACATGACAATAGCAAATACTTCGACTACAATAGCAAGTACTATAATGCTGGAATTTTCATGACTCAATTCATTCATTGTGCTACATCAAAATCTGATTTGTTCATTTTAGCAAACAAGCCATAGCTTAATAAAACTTGTGAACCAGTCAATTCAAGTTTGTGTTTCTTTAGGAATGTACAAATTAAGCAGACATTTGTAGAGGAAGTGTCAAGGCAAGGGTGTTTTTGGTTTGGTTTGGCTTGGCTTAGTTTATGATTATCATAGAGCAGAAGAATTTTAAAAAGAAAATAATAAAATAGATACATTAAAAAAGGTTGATGTATTGAAAATAATATACCAAACACATATAAAATTATATACATATTGGTATACCATATTTGTCAGTATACTACCAAAGCAAACAGATCATTTAATTATGATACGTTAAGACTGGTTTGTTTTTCATCCAAAACTGAGACAATATACTATCAGTATTGTTTGCTCTTTGGCTTTATTGACTTGGAAATTTTTATTTCTTTTTGAACCTGTGCTGCTTATGTGGGTATTATTATGGCCTGTGTTTTATCTTCAATTTTGTCTTTTTAATAGATGATGGTTTCTGTGTGTGTGTGTGTTTCTGTATGTTTGAGGTTATGAGGCTTTTTCTTGATATGTTTGTAAGAGGTGCAATTTGTGTGATAGATGTCTTTGTGAGGTGGGTTTGGGAAAATAGTTATGGAGTTTCATGCAGGTGTATATTTTTCTACATTTTTTTCTCTTTATTAATATAAGTAATTTGGTAGTAGTTTCGGGTTACCTTACAGTTTGGATTTGGAGAACACAATCCTCAAATTTGTGAATTTTGCATATGGAAGAATTAACCATGGCAAGAAGGCTATTACTTAAAAGAATGGTGTTTTTCAAGAAAAAAGAAAACAGGAAAATAGTTAACTTCAAGGAAGAAACATTTTAAGCTGGTTTTGCCTGGCATCTATGTAGATTAGTATAAAGCTTCTGTCAAGAACATAAACAAACTGGAAATAAATCAGTATGTTATGGAGATAACATTGATAAACCATATTCTTCAAACCACAGTTTCAACTTGTAAAATGTTGCCAAAATATAAGATGGGTTCATATATATAAAACCAACTAATCAGGCAAAAAACTCTGCCTTTTTATTACTTGCATATGCCATACAATTAAGTGTCCCTCATTGATGGACTGGAAAGGAAAGTTGACAAACCCCTGTACATTTCATACACTAACACAGTACTCTTGCTGTTGTTTCAACAGATTCTAAAAAATAACAAATATGTTTAGGACATATATTATATAATTTAGATTTATTATTTCAGTCTTCTCTTTACATTTCTCCCTTCCATTTCTTATTTCTTTTCTTTCTGTTCATAATGTCTGGCTACTAATGATTAAGTCTTTTTTTCTATTATTTTTTTTTAGAAATTTAGCTTATCTTCATTTCTAATTTCATTTTAGTTGTTAGTTTGCAAAATCATTTGGCTACATAAAATTATGGAATATTGAATTATGAATAGCAAGCAGTATAATTTGTAGACCAATTCTGTAAAAAAACAGCATTATGTGTTGAGGCAGAAACACTTCTATAATTGATTTCAAAAGCCTTATTCCAAATTAAAGGTAGATTTGTGACAGGTCTATAGGCCCCAGGCATGAATAATGTTTTAAGGATCATAGACCACAGTTCATCTTCTTAACATTCCAAAGGATTGGGGATGACCATCTTATTCTGTAGCAATATCTTTAGTACCCTGTTTTCCCCAAAATAAGATCTTCCCGGATAATAAACCCAATCAGGCTTTTGAGCTCCTGCGCTAAAATAAGCCCTCCCAAAAAAATAAGCCCTCCCCCAAAATATTGCAACACAGCAGCAGCCATGATGGGATCACGCTCACCGCCTCCTGCACCTCAAAAGTAATAAGACCTCCCCAAAAATAAGGCCAAATGCTTATATGACTTCCAGTTCTCACCTCTTTTTTTTTTTTGGCTAGGATAAAGGAAAAGAAAAAAAAATCTCATCAAAATTGGCTACAGTGGTTACAGATATTAGTTGTAGTTTCACGGTTGAGGAGCTACAATTGCAGAAGAGGCAGACAATATAGTTTGGGAACTACTCACTTCTGCTACACACAAACCATTTCCATTATGTACATGATTTCATAATGTGCCCTTATGACATTTTGCATATATGTTAAGTCATAATTTGTTGACTAAACAATAGTTGACTGAGTTCACAGATTTCAGTAATGAATAATTATGGTTTGTAACCAACAGTAATTGGGTTAAAACACATTATGAAATAAGTCAAATTAAGCCTTAGCATAATTCATTCAATCAGCCATAAAGCTTTGCTGTAAATTATGAGAACATTTGTTAAAATATCTTGAGTTGGCTGATCAAAAGTCACTTGGGTGACTTTTAAAAATAATTTGCTTATTCAAAAAATGAGTACTGCAAAATAGTATTCATTTCAGTAATCTGAAGTCTCCCCTGAATAGTTTTACCATAATTTACTGTATTGTTCTTTGTATTGATAAAGAAAATATTTAGCAACTAATGTACAGTTTGTTTGCATTTTGCCTATTGCCTTTTAAAATCCATTTACCTGAAATATAATTACATTACAATCTTGTCAAAGTAACTGATTGGCATTTATTAATATGTACTGCTTTTCAATGAAAAATGGTAATCTTCAAACAGTTTGGCTCAACAAATTTTGCTTCTTTAAAATAAAAAAAGGAAAAAAGAGACAAGAACAGTATTTTAAGCTTATCTATTGTTAAACATTGCTCATTTGGCTGTATTCTTCGTTACCAGAGGTATTAAGAACATCAAACAAAATATGGGATTGGATTAATTAGTAAGCAATGCATTTAGAATTCAATCCCCTCATAAAAACGTTACATTTCCATTCACAGTTGTCAATCCTTTCTAAAGTTTTTTGTGTTGCTTAGATAGTTTCATTTGTGCACATTGGTTTATTAAAGTAGACAGTGGAGAAAAATCATGCCAGTATAACAAATCTTTGTAAAAAAAATAATAATTAAAAACTAAGTAAAGTAAATAAATAAATATTATCTATGTGGTTTTTAAATTGTGGTTATAAAATATATGTCCAATGTTCTTTACTGATTAGAAACTTGCAAGAAGATAGGTAATCCTACTGGACCCACCTAGTATCAAAATCTGTGCTTGCATAAAACCGTTGTAAAATTAAGATAAAAAAGCAATAGATGATACTGTGAAGTTTTGCTGATCTCATCACAGTATTAGATCAGTGCTGACAAATTATAGTTTTATGTAATGTAGAATTATGCCCTGCTCAGTAAATTTCTAATCCCCATTCCTGCAGTACTCCAATAAACTACTAAACTATAGTGCCAACAATTATTATTACACTGTCATATAAGTTTGCTGCAAAACAGAATTCAATTATCATAACACAAGATGTCATCTTAGAATTTTCTTTTATTTATTATAATTCTACATTAACTTTGAACCTTTTTAAGGCAAGTGTATAGCTTCAGAATATATAACAAGAACTATACAAGTTTCTTTAATTATTAATTAAAAATAAAATAAAAGATGTAATTCTGATTTTTATTTTCATAATTTCCCTAATTACTATATAGAACATCAATGGAGAGTTGAGCTATCAGTGGCTGATAGGACTGTGTAATCATTTAAAAATGGTGATAGAAACAAATGGGAGCTTTTACATGGCAATTTTTGAAGAGGCCTACAAGGCTTGAAAAAGATATGGATGTTTTAACCTAAGAGCCGTTATATATATTTACTGGTAATGGGGGCAGAAATGTTGTTACTTATTTTCATGCAATAGCTAGGCAATTTGTAGTAAAGGTAACAACTGATTGAATAGAAGGTAAACAAGATAAAAAAAACAATAAACCTGTTTTCTCCCTTTTGATGTTGAATGAGCAATTTCCAAAGTTTTCTTTCAGAGCTGCTAACCTACTTTTTACTACAAGATATTGTGCTGAAAATAAAACAAATATAAAAACTGGGGTACAATTTTTAAAAATAATTTAGAATCCATAAATACATTTTGCTGTTGTATAAGTAAATATGAAAATGTAAAAAATAAGAGTTCATACATTGACTTTTCTGCAAATATGATTCCTGTATCTGAAAATGTGTTTCAGGTCTGTGCATTGATTATTTAGAGAATAAACTTTATTGGATCAGTTCAGGCAATGGAACTATAAACAGATGCAACTTGGATGGTGACAATTTTGAAGTAATAGATTCAATGAAAGAAGAGCTAACGAAAGCTACAGCCTTAACCATAATGGGTAAGTGAACATATAAGTTAACATGGTTCACATCCAATAATTAACCCTCCTGATGCACATTAATTATCAAAAATGTATCACACTTTTCCATTAAAGTATGTATTACTATATTTTCTTAATATGAATTTTGAAGCCAGAATTTCTACTCAGTCAGGTAGGACAAAGAAAGTTTGAAGATTGCATGATTTGGAGATTACATGATTCAGTTAGGGATGTACTTTTTCTATTGCACAATGGAAATATGTGTATCAATACATATGCATGTACATATACAGTACTTCTACAGTATCTATTGCTGTCTTTATTGCTCTATAACTTTAAAATTTTTTTTTGCAAATAAAAGGGTTGATATTCATTTTTAGATAATTAACAGATCTAGAGTTATGGCTCATCTATTATTCATAGTTAAATATTAATAGTATAATCACTTGTTATTTTATGTAAAATTGATATGAAAAACCAAAAGGAACAAGTTAAAAAAAGCATAATTAAAAAAGAAGAATGTAATAGCATAGCATAATTCTTTAAATGATTTCAAAGTAGTATCTCTGTAGTAATTATGGTTGATAGATGGTACTGGAAGGATAGAAGATATTCTTGCTGAAGATGGAAAAAGACTAGGAAATCCTTTAGCAATGATTAAATAGTAGGTTACCTTATATCTAACTATATGCATTTACTTTTTGCATTAGAAGCATTTTAAAAAGAATATCTTAAATGAATACCTTTAATGCAGTAGTCCTTGACTTATGATCACAACTGGGACCAGAATTTATGTTATTAAGCAAGGCAGTTAAGTGAGTCATACCAAATTTCTTTACCTTTTTGCCATGGTTGTTAAGTGAATCACTGCTCTTGTTAAGTGAATCACATGATCATTAATTGATTCATCTTCCCCCATTGAATTTGTTTCTCAGAAGCTGGCTGGGAAGGTAGGATCTTCACAAATGATAATCCCATGACCCCGGATTGCTGCAACCATCCTAAAACATGCTGGCTGTCAAGTGCTCAAATTTTGATCCACATGACCTTTGCAATGTTGTGATAATTATGGACACAAAGACCAGTTTTAAGATAGCTTTTTTTCAGTACCATTGTAACTTCAAACAGTTGCTAAATGAATGATTGTAAATCAAGGAACTACCTCAACCAATTTTGCTTGTTATTGTACCCTGCTTTCATGTTAATTGGATTAATGTGAAATAAAATCATTTTTTATGGTCAAGTAACTGGCTAAAAATAGAAAGCAGAGAACATGGTTACTTAAATAGATCTAATCCTGGGGAAACAAGAAATTAGTTGTTCCAGTTTATGTAGTGATTCTAATAAACTTATAATTATATATCAACTAACTGGCCAGGTTTTACAGCTGATACAAATTATTTTGAATGATATAAACCAAATCAGACACTAGATACTGTCGGCATTCTTTTTATTCAAACATATTAACCACATACAATTTTACACATGACACTAATTCCATGAACTGGAATTGACCCTAGCTAAACAGGAGAGATATCTTAAATTTATAGTGAATAATTCACTGAAAACTGCCCAATATACAGTAGTTTTGAGAAAAGCAGATTCAGTGATAAAGATTGCTAGGAAATGGATCAAAAGAAATTATTATAGTATAATGATATAATTTTAAAAATCTTAAAATTGATATTTCAGAGCATGAAACAATACATAACATCTTGTCCAAATTCATTAGGGTATTGAAATGGTTTACCTGCGAGGAAAGGTACAACATTCAAGACTTTCTGATTTACAAGTACAAGATGCAATACATATCATTATATTTAATATGGAAAAATAGATTTGGAGATAGTTAAGAAAGCTGATTTGCAGGAGTTTCAGAACATCTATTAGTTCTTAAGGTTTATGTGAATGTAAGTAAAGTTTACAGAGAAGCTGATTAGGTTTGCTGTAACACCGAATTATTTGAGGGGTGGGGGAAGCTGTTAAATAAAAGTGAAGTATATTCATAGCCTCAAGTTACTTATAAATATAACAAAGGCAAAAATCTAATAAATAAATAATAATAAAATCAAAAACAATTTATCTCAAGCAAAGAAATATATATTAACATTAGAAATAGTTCAGTGTAAGTGTAGTTGATGCAAATTGCAGGGAAAATTCTAACTATATGCATGCTGAATTAACTTGGTAATGATGTCATTGAAAGTATCTGGTGGTCATAGTGGGTAGTTTGAATTAAAGTGTTCTACACTGTGAAGTTACTTTAGGTGCTGGTGATCATTAGGATAAGTTTAAAAAACAAAGCTGTCAGTATTCTGATATATTTATAACAAATATTTGATATGAGCATACTGGAATACAATCATTGCTTACCAAAAATAATGCTGAAGAACTGCAAAATATATAGAAAAAGAAACTCATGATGGACCTAGAACAATTCCTTTATGGGTAAAAATATGTGATTTAAAAAAATACTAAGAAAAATATGTTTAAATAATACAGAACAAATAGATATTATTTTTATACAAATATATGGATTTAGAAGCTCTTTATATACAGCCTTTGGGTTCAGAGGCTCCATAATGCTAAAAACCAGGAAGCAACAGTGATACTGTCTTTGATGTCCTTGTGTCATCTGATTGGCTGGATGTGAGAACAAAAGGAGTTTTGGTCTGATACAATATTCATCTAATAGTATATAATATGCTTATGCCAATATAAGCCATAGTTCATTTAAGTACAGTATAATGAGATGTAGTAATCTTCATTGTATGTAATCACATACTTATGTATGGCTTTTACTGCGGACATAAATCCAAACAACTATATTATATTATATTATTTTATCTCATACCAACTTGATCAACTATTAAGGATTGTAATTAAATACCCTCACAAACCTGAGAATAATTGTATCAATTATAATTCTCAAATCTTCCAAAAATTGTGGTAGAATGGAAATAGCAGTCCTGCATGTAGCATTGGTATACCATTGCATATCATGGGAGATTATGTTATTGGTGATTCATCTTGCCATTTTTTGCCCTGATGTCTATGTATAGTAAGGTATTAGTAGCAGTGTAGCCTGTCCTTTAATGCTCCTCTGAATTTGTGATTATTTCCTTCAAAATATTGACCAAGATAAGCTGTAATAGACAATAAATCCAATAAATTTATATTAAAAAACATCACTGGAACAATATTGAGATTTCTGGTTGAAAATCAATTTGCTAATGCCTTGCCTTTTATGATCTCAGAGTTGCTATTGAAATAATGTTATGTGATACACATGGATTGCTATTCTCTCTTGCATTTTTTTTTAAACTGGCATTGTTGTCTGTTCCTCCTCTGGACAGCAACAATTATATTTCGAAAGACATATTATTGTAAAACATTGTGTTATTTTACATTTGTGATGTTATATGGTATGTTATAGGTGGAAATTTTAATTACAAAGCAAAACTCTTACGAAAGCATTAACTGCCACTTGGTCTTATTCCACCAGCTTTATGAATTATTTGGCAATTGTCAGTTTCCAGACCCAATTTAAGATGCTGGTATTATTCTATATATGAGCTAGTTTGAAATAGTAGTTAAAGGGATCAGGCTAAAAACTGGGAGTTCTAATCCCACTTTTGGCATGAAACTGTCTGGGTGACTTTGGGTCAATATCTCTGTTTCAGCCATAGGAAGAAGGAAATGGCAAAGCACTTCTGAAAAACTTACCAAGAAAACTGTAGGGTTACTTCAGGCAGTCAGCCATTACTTCAACACTAACATAAATGCAAAAACAAATAAAAATAAAAGGGAAAACAAAATATCACCCTATAAAGCATTTAATGGCTTGGGTCACTGTTCCAGAACAAATCACTCTGTACCTTCTATTTTGGACATACGTTGTTCCACATATGGGGCTCATTGACTCAACAGTTAAAGACGTTGAACATGTCAGTTGGAAAGCTGACAGCCTGAGTTTAAGACTTGCCAGTTCCTGCCCACCTAGAAGTTCAAAAGCATGCAAATGCAAGTAGATAAACAGGTACCATTTCAGAAGGCAGATAACAATGTTCGGGGACCTTCGTATATAGTCATGCTCACCACATGATCATGGAAAATTCCTTCAGACAATGCTAGCTCCCTCAGCTAAGAAATAGAGTTGAGCACTGCCTCTTAGAGTTAGGCACAATTGGACACAGAAAGCCTTTACCTTTATCTTTTGTTCCATATGCCTTCCCATGAAGACTTGGAGTAACCAGCTATCAGAGAGTAGCCCCCTACTTCCATCCATAAAGTGACATATTTAGCATAGGTTTCACTCTTTTAAACAAAATGCTTTATGCTCTTTTTAATCAATGTGTATGTATTTATTTATGGTCAAGCAGATGCCATATAAACATTATAGGTAATTAAAAGAATAATTAGCAGGAAGTCACAGGAAAATATATTTCATAAACTATAAATACTTTTTTAGGCTTTTTTACCGCAAAAAAGTTAGTGTGACAATTTTTTTTTTACTGTTTATTTTAGTAACATATTTTAATCACTCTCTTTCATTGTGTAGCTTAGTTATTAGAATTTTATTGGATAATTTTAATTGCCTATTATCTTGTAAAATTGGTTCTGATAAGCCAAATTCAGAGTTCGGGCATGGGCAAGGCCAGACAGTGACGTATCCGGCCTGCGGACTGGGAGTTTGACATCCCTCTACTAGCTTAAATTAACAAAGCAGAAGATTCTTTTAACATTTGAGTAGCCATAAACCTTTTAACCATAAAATGAAATTGAGATACTATGTCCTAACTTTATCAGTAGTTTCTGCATAGAATTGTATAATAGTATACAATTTTTTATCTGCTACTCAGAATATTTTTGATTCTTTAATAAGCCTAAATAACATATTTCAATATTGTTCACCAAAATTTTACAGAATCCTAGAATTTGTCTACTCCAAAATTTGAATAATACTGGTATAGTTGTCAATATAACCACATTCTAACTTGTATTTAAAACAGTTTTCA